ATAATAATAATAATAATAATAATAATAATAATAATAATAATAATAATAATAATAATAATAATAAAGTTATTTGTTAAAACAGTTAAAAATTGACAAAATCACCATCAGTCAAATGCAAAAAGCCGCACTGCTTGGATCTGCACGCATATTACGAAAATACGTTACGATGTCCTAGGCCCCTGGGTGGGGCCCGACTAGTAACCAATGCCAAATCCGGCAAAACAACTGGCCGCTGTGATACAATTGTATAATAATAATAATGGTGATTTTGTCAATTTTTAACTGGTATTACATTTAAAACAGTTAAAAATTGACAAAATCACCATCAGTCAAATGCAAAAAGCCGCACTGCTTGGATCTGCACGCATATTACGAAAATACGTTACGATGTCCTAGGCCCCTGGGTGGGGCCCGACTAGTAACCAATGCCAAATCCGGCAAAACAACTGGCCGCTGTGATACAATTGTATAATAATAATAAAAAACTCCTGCAACAACTTGACCTAACTAAGAAAAGATATTCTTGCATAAATTATAGCGATGTTTAAAATGATAGTAGATGGTTATTGGAAATAATAGATACAAATTTACACATTCTTATTAAAGAGATACAGATAGAACAGTTGCTAAGGGAAGTAATGCTATCTGTTGCTGTGCTTCTTCCTAACCTTCTACTCTCAATGACTTAAATATCTTGGCATCCTCACCAAAGGGATTCCTCAACATCTTATACCTTCTTGGGTACCCTGTACAAAATGAGAATGGTAATTCCCCTTTCTTATCTAAGCATTCTCAGCCAACAGCTTTGCACATCATTCTAACTATGAACAAGATCCTGATTTAGGGATAGTCCTGTCAATCAAGACAAAGAAGTGCAGAAATAAACAGTGAAAAAGTTGGGCTTCCATTAATCCTGTTGTGTGCTGTGGCATTACTTGCTCACACTATATTTATCATTGTGGGAGAGCCAAATACAGGAGATTGCTATATATTAAGTTAAATATTGCTACGGTGGGCTTCTATGGTGAAAATATTAAGGGACGTTGAATAACATATAGGTGGGGTAGGACAAGACATGACATTTTTGGAGTGGAGTGAGGGACACAAAATAGGGGGGGGGGCGACTTTGCACTGTGAGAGATCAAGCTTTAGGTTTGGGGGTTTCCATTCTGATATGCCAGTTATAGCACTTGCACTTTAATTTGTTTTTCATAATGAAATAGTGCAAAGTTTTGATCATAGAAGTCTTGATCAGAAAGAACCCCAAGAAGCAAAAGGGACTCTGAGGTCATGGTGCTCCTGAATCTACAAGTTGTTCATTTTTGTTCTTGAGACACCTCCTTCAACCAGGAATACTTTGCTGAAGGTGATCTCATTCATGTTTACTCAGTACAGGAGGAAGCTATTCAAAGTGAATTGAGGGAAGACTGCCCAGAACAGAAGCTACTGTTAAAGACAGAAGAAAGATGAAAATGAAAGTGCAAACCTACTGTTGCTGAAAAGCATGGGTGTTTCTGAGGATTGGATCAGTACTAAAGAATTATAATTGTTATAATATCAGCCTAGGTTCACCATTTACACTAAAAACATGTTGGAACCAAACTGTTTAATAATCTTACAGAAGTTAAACTCAGTTAATACCAGGACAATTTCATTCTACATTCTCAAATCTATATATAGTCAGTAGAAGACAGTACTCCAACTTTTTATTGAAACCATTCTTCTTGTTTGTTATATATTAATAATTTTCTTTTGAATTAGCATTGCTTTTTAAAGTTAATTTATTTTATAACATCAAATTATATATCTAATCATTCTTAATTAGATAATTAACTCAAGTATTACAAATGAAAATACAGCCTGATTCCAGAAACATGAAAAACAAAAATAAAACCATCATTTTTTGTACTTACCTACAACTGTAAGGTTAAGTTGTGCTTGCTTGCTTCCCAGCTTGTTTTCCACTACTAAAGTATAACATCCACAATGTTCCTGCTTTGTGGAGAAGATGGTTAGCTTACTGCTATTCTCAGCATTCTCAATTTTGATGTGTTCATTTTCTTGGAGCTGCCAAATTAAACAGGTAGATTAATATAGGTATTCTAAAAATATAGTAAACTAGGATTTCATATGCTACATATACTAATAGGAAATGATAGGGAAGTGTGTTTGGCTGATTATAACATTCTGTCTTTTCTTGAGATCAACTCTTTATATACTCTCATGCGATATTAATCTCATTTGTAGTCAAGAAAAACCTTAGAGAAGACATTCCTATCCCAGTGGTGGACTTTCAACTCAATCTCATCTAAGGATGCTTAGAATGAGGAAATTATGAACAATCTCACCCAATACAGTCAAAATTTAAAATTGCACTTTCGGCGGGAAAGAGAAAATGAAACTTTGATTTGGGGTTTTAACAATTATAGTGAATTACTAATATAGAAATGACTAGTACAGCGATGGCGAACCTTTTTTGGCTCATGTGCCAAAAGCGGGGGGAAGGCAGGGGGGTCGTGCGTGTGCATGCCACACCCATAGTGCTATGCGCATGAACCCAGCGTGTATGCACACAAGACCAGCAACTCCCCCCCCCCATTTTTGGTGTGCTTTTTTCACCCTCCCTAGGCTCCAGAGGCTTTATAGGAGCCTGGGGAGGGCGAAAACAGCCTCCCCCCCGAGGCCTTCCGGAGGCTTCAGGAGTTCCCTGAAGCCTCTGGAGTGCGAAAAACCAGCCCTATGGGCAAACTGAAAGTTCAGAAACGAACTTCTGGTTTGCTCATAGGGCTGGTTTTAGCCCAGCATCACTTCTGGTTTGTCCATAGGGCTGTTTTTTTGTCCTCCGGGGCCTTCAGGAGCCTTGCCTGATGGCTCCGGAGGGCAAAAAGTGACTTACGGTTTGCTTGTAGGGTCGTTTTCTGCCCTCCGGAGCCCCTGAAGGCTCCGGGGGGCTAAATCCAGTCCTACGAGCAAACTGGAAGTCTGTTCCTGAAGTTCCAGTTTGCCCATAGGGCCGGATTTTTGCGCTCCGGAGGCTTCCTGAAGCCTCCAGAGGGCGAAAAATGGCCTCAAAATAAAGCCAAAGTGAGCTGGCCAGCACGTGCATGGGCACTGGCCAACTGACAGGACAACGCCTTGCCTGCCCTGACACATGCCACCTGTGGCACGAATGCCATAGGTTCACCATCACAGTTCTAGGTCAAGAAATTTAACCTTTTTCTCTACAGTTGTAGCATTTTTTAATTCAACCTACATCTTGGAGCAGTGTAAAAAAATTGAATCTTTCTACTAACATATTCAATTTTCAATCCTTAAGAATGGGATTGTTGTACCTACTTTCCTTTAAAAAAATCTCATTTTTTAAAAGTAGAAAGTGTTCATATAAGGCCAGCAACCTATTTAGCGCCAAGTTAATTTGTCCATTTCTGTCCCCCAAAACCAGAGATATTAATTAATTAATTAATTAATTAATTAATTAATTAATTAATTAATTAAACAAACATATATCACAAGGACTTTACCACAAATGTATTCAGCTAGCTGAGAAAATCTGGGAGTTGCGGTCTACATATCTTCAAGTTGCCAAGGTTAACAAACACTGGNTGCTACTATTAAATCTTATCTTCTGTGCAGTAGCTCATCATTTGGTTAAATGAGAGGTGGGTTGCTAATTTTTTTACTCCTGGTGGGCGGAGTCTCCCGCCGCCGCTACTACCGGTTCAGCCGATCCGGGCCGAACCGGCAGCAACCCACCTCTGGGTTAAATGCTCCAAATATAGCTGTTTCTTTGGTACAGAAACAGTCAATAGTTGTATTCCATAATTGTATTAATAATACTGACATGGTTTTAAAGCAAATTCATATTTATCAAAATTTTGGCAGCATGAAGGGTCTTTAATTGAAGCACAATATGGACACATGATTGTTTGGTTCACTGTCCCATTCAAAAGCCGAATTACTTTGGAAGCCATATGGACCAAGAATAAACTAAAAAGAAACACCCTCCCCTTTTTGCAAAGTTTTAGGAATGGGAATCAGATAGAAAGGAATTGGAATTTTGACATAAACAGAATCAGAATAGTACCACCTAAGGCCTCTTAAGAAAACTTCTGAGTCTTGGGACAATTTACTTACCTTCCACCAAGACGCTGCAAATGCATTCTGATTTTCCTGCAGTATTCTCAGCTACGCATTTGTATTGGCCCTCATCCTCAGGAAAGACCTTGTCAATGGTCATGGAGCACAATGAGCCTAAGGGAAAGCAAGAGACAAGTCATAGAAGTGTAAAGGTCTAAATTAAAATGAACTCTACTCAACAAAGTATTGATAAGACCAAAACCATAATCTAACCATAGCTCCCAACATAAGAGTATGCCAAAAGGTTGGTCTTACTTTTGATTCAGTGGTATCTAAATTGCATAGAAACAGGTCTTCAGAAATTAAAGATGGCACTATGATTAAGACATCAACATCTTTAATGCCTGCCTTTATCTCTCCTCTTCCAGTGCAATTTGAAGTCCAACAACTTTCGTTTAAAGCTACACATATTCAATCAGAACACAGAAAGCTATAAGCAATTCAAACAATAACCTTTGCTCTGGCTGGAATGACACCACCCAGAAATTCCAAATAATATGACTGTTGACCATGAAACTATTCCTATAGATTTTGTTTCCTTTTGATTTTGGAAATCAAAATTTACAAATCCTACTGTGTTTTCGCCAGTGTTCATAAACCTAGTAGCCTTCAGATTTGTGGGAGCATCCCTCACCATCAGCTATGTTCTTAGGGTTGCCAGAATTATAGATTAAGAAAATCTGGAGGACCATATCTTTTGCATCCCTACTCTAGAAAAAAGTCATTTGAACAGTATATTATCATGTCAACACTCTGTTAAAAAATAAATCCACCATCACCACTCAATAAAGTTTAGAAATTAGTAGAGTCAAGTCAATTCTGATTGCTCACTACATTAAAAATACCAATTTCTCTCTCTCTCTCTTCAAAAGTCAGGACAGAGGATGTTCATATTTTAGGATTAAAAATATCTGATGTTCCACGCTTTAATCATGCACAAGTGTTTTCCTTAAAGTACTTCAAGTAAATGTACAAACAAAAAGCAAAGCTAGCTATGTTTACTAAGGACACAACATTTTCCAAAAAGTCTGTGACCTAGGCAATTGCTTCATTCCCTGGGCTGGGAGACCACATGCCTCTCAATGAAACATTTGGTATTTCCTCCACAAAAGCCCTTTGTTGACCTCCAGAGATGAGATTTTTTTCTCATAGTTCTGAGAAAACTCTGTCTGGTGACTCCAGTCCGCAATTCTGAATTTCTTGGCACCTTACAAAATGAAATCCCAGGAGAGGGAACAACAGCATTGCTGCAAAAGCTGATCTACCCCTTCTCTGATCTGTTTATATAGCTGTCGACCAACTAATAGTGTGTTATGAAATTTATATGTCTGAAATGAGCACTGCAATGTTTTGAAGCAGCAACTTCAGTGCATTAGGCACAACATGGTCAAAATGTTTATAGCTGGGATTATAATGGAACATGTTTCCCAATGCTATGGGAAGGATCCAATCTTTCATAGGCTTTATAGCATAGGTTATAGGCTCAGACACTCTTGAGTTTTGAACTTATTTGAAGGTGATGTTTAGTTTAACTGAAATAGTGCAAACTTGGCAAAAGATTTCCAGTTCTTGCCAGCTTGATAGTCAGTTGTCCTCAAAACAAATATGCAAAGCATCAGAACAGGGTAGCTCTTGTGTTTTACTTTCCTATCCTGGTCAGCAAAACATGTTCCCTCTTCCAGCTGTAATAACTCCTGCTATGTACCTCAAGGAATCTAAAAAATAAATTATTGGGATGCTGAAATCTGAAAAACAATTAAAGCTGAGGCATACAATAACCAAAGTTGGGAATTTAAGTTCAACTATCTTTTCACATTATGCATTCCTGTGGAAGTATGCTACCTACTTATGGTAAGTATCTGATGCAGTTTATATACCAGTTTTACAATACCCATTTTGTATTCTGCAAAATCACATTAATGCATTAAGGCCCCCATGATATACTATTCCATGAATTAATAAATAATAATATTTTTCACAAGTATGGTTCCAGATCTGGACCATAAATATGGATAAGTTTTTAAAAGTCAATGTTCCTTCTGCCATTTCTTTCTTGGCTTTTGATGGTGGTCTTGGCAATGGATAAAGCACCAGAGTTCTACTTGTTATAAAAGACTGGGAATGATTATAAAACTAAGGAAAGAAGAGCAGCGAATGAGCAACCTCATTTGCACATTATTGATGCACTGAGAAACAGTTCCCTATTCTCCAAATTAAATTTGATAATCTTAGTAGAAGGTGTAGCTTATACTTCTTCTGTATACTGATTTCTGCTATAACATTGGAATCATGGATATCTCTTTTTTCCACAAGGACTATTCCCAGATTTACTCGCCCACATATTATGGGGAGGAATTCAAAAGAAACTCTTATGCTTTTTTTTTTTGCTAATTCTAAAATACTTCAGATGAAGGGCAGACACATCTGTTCAGTAAAACTGGAAACATCAAAGAATTTAGAAAATTATGGTCCCAGCTGGTCAGGAACCAGAGCTACCCTAACTCCCACTAAGAAAGCATCTGGCAATGCAAGCAAGATTCTGAGAATTAGCAATTCATCATTACATGTGACATCCAGTGTTTCTAAAATAATTCTGACTTTCCAAATGTGTAAAAAAGATCTTACTATTAGAAGTCATTTGTTCTTTTCCAGTAAGTGCTAGGGTAAAATTGATGCAGAAATGCAGAACAAAATTCTACATGTTATTTTTAAAGCTATTGGTCATTTTTTGTATATGGGTTTAGAGAAAATGGATGTACAGAATATATAAACATATAGAACACAAAGTTTGTACATAAAACAGGTTCTGATAGAGGCTATCAGTGTTGGAAATATAAGTATTGTACTGTCTGGAACATATACTTACTGGAATTATTTTCCCCTCTCAAAAAAGCAAGGCAATGCAGGAATGTTGTCAGATCATTTTTGAATAAGAAACATCTTTCAGATAATCTTTAAATTTTCTAAATGGTATGAATAATTTATTTTTATTTCTTTAAAAGGTTTATAAGGCTTAAAACAAAACTTTGGGTGGCTCATGACAATAAAAATCCCAAACTATAAAAATCATAATGTCATGTTCCGGCATTCATGTTGAATACAAACAGAGAGTTTGTTTGGTGAAAAACTTTATCTCTATCTAATATTATGTGATAAGTAGCACTAAATGACAATGATACAAAGGTAAGCAAATCCAAGTCAGTTCTAACCAAGTTAACACCATCACTCAACATATAAATTCTCCCAACTAAAAATTTAAATTAACAAGCCCAAACCAAAGGAGCCCAATAGCATTTTTTAACCTTCTCTATTCTGTTTGTCACACCAATCTGAAAACCCTGAGGTTCTTATGTAATCTTGAATACAGGAGTAAATTTAAAAATAGTAATAACTAGGAACAAAAAATGACTAATACCTGTAACTATCCTGTTTCCCTGAAAATAAGTCCTCCCCGGATAAAAAGCCCAATCAGGCTTTTGAGCGCATGTGCTAAAATAAGCNTGAGTCAACCCTGAGCCGGTGAGATTTGAACCGCTGACCTGCTGATCTAGCAGTAGCCTGCAGTGCTGCATTTAACCACTGCGCCACCTTGGCCCTTCCCAATGCATATTTGTTTACATATCAGCTTTTGGTTATTTACATGTCACAAGCAAGAAATTATTTTCAATCTTGATCAAAATTCCATACATGTAAACATCTTTTTTTCATGCATTTTATGATTAAAAGAATAGCTGCAAAAATTCTATTACCTGCTTCCGAAATTTCATCCAAGTACATGTTAAAGGCAGGGTTCCTGATACTTTGCACAATAGCTCTACTGATTCACCAGATCTTACTTTCTGGTCTTCTGGGAACTGAACAATCTGAGGAGGAAGAGCTGATAAAAAGAGGAAACACTTTTGAGGATTTTTTTTCCAGAGGTAAAAATTACGAATATATTGAAGCAGATATATAAAATAGAAACCAATTGTTTATCCAGCCTCAAAACTATATCTAACAAAAAAAGAGGATCTGGTTTATGGTTAAGATAACAGAATCCTTCAACCTTTACTTAATGGTTCAAGGCCTGCTAGCAAAATATGTATCCAAACTAAGGAGTCCTTAGACCTCTTTTGAATCAAATTCATGAATGACCATTAGTCAAAACTCAAAGGACAGAGGAAGCTTTATAAATCTGTGCTGATCAATGAGTCCTGGAAAAGAAACCTGCCAGTTTCCTTGGAATACAATTGACCATCCAGATCCTTCTCACCTACCCAAAGTTCACTTTTGACAGGCATGGTAAGAATCATAGTCCACTATGAAAAGCACTAAGAACTTTGCCAGACTGTACAAGCCTTTTCCTGCTAAAGCTGTAAGTCCAGTCCAACTTCAAAGATTCTTTACAGGGGAAAAAGAGTTCCAAAATTATACTGGCTATTCAAGCAATCATCCTATGTATAAACAGTAAAGATCACAAGGATTCCCATTTCCATGGAAAGTCCTCTTGATTTTGGGATCTTCCTGGAGACCCTCTTATATTCCCTGCTTCAGATTTTATGGGAACAAACCTACTTTACATTTACCCAGGACTTGTAGGAGTTCATTAATTCCCTTTCCAATTGTTTTGGTAGAGTAATAGGACACTCCAGCCCCTTTATGTGTGTTTCTTACAAAATAGCTGGTCATACTGGACTAGATGAGTAACTGATTTGATTTGGAAAGTCATGGATTATTCAGGTGTTTAGCTTAAGGGCATATAAGCAATAACTAAAATAGAAAATTCACTGCATTTTTTAAATGAAATTTTAAGCAGAATTTGAATAAAGTTTCAATTTGTTATCATTCATTCTCCTTATTTGATTAATCTAAAAAATTCTAGTAAGAAGATGCTTCAGCATTTCTTTTGTAGAGACAGGGTTTCTTTAAAATAGTATGTCAAAGTATACAATATATTAACCTGATACCAGAGGTGGGTTGCTGCCGGTTCGGCCCGGATTAGGTGAAGCAGCAGTAGTAGTAGTGGCGGGAGGCTCTGCCCACCTGCTTCTGGACATGTGCAGAAGCGTCATGCACGTGCCCGAACCGGTAATAAAAAAAATTAGCAACCCACCTGAGGATTAATAATCCTCAGACATTTTTATTCTTTCACAGATAAATTAATTAAGGCATTACAACAGAATGTGGACATGCGAAGGTTGGAGAAAAGGGCAATCACTGCACATGTTATGCCAAGTGATTAGCTTCTGTTACTGGAAGATCTAGTCATTGCAAGAATTATGATTAAACTTAAGAACTTTGCTATTTAAATTCTAGTTAAATTGTTTTGCTGATACCTTTTTCCTTTTATTTACCTCTCTCTTCCTCTCCCCCCTCCCCCGCTCTTGGTATTATACAATGGAAACTTCAATACTATGCAACTAGTTCAAAATCAAAACCTTTATTGTGCAACAAATACTTTGATGTAATATGTGGCAATATCTTGTTCTAACGTTGTAATCAATCTGGTATGGAAAACTCAAATAATTTTATGCTAAATATTCTAAATTGCAATATTCTAAATACAAGAAATTCTTAATTAGAATTAATACTTATATAAAAAAGAATTATGATTAAACTTAAGAAATGATCCTTGACTTTGCTTTTTAACCTTTTCTTTCAGATTCCATTCTCTTTTTTAAAAATCCAGACTGTAAGCCTCTAGGATCACATGCAAACCTTTCAGCAGAATACAGGGTGTAAACATTTTCAATAAACACATATTGTCCTGAACTACCTACTCATGCCTCACAGTCTTCTCCATACTAATACTGAGCAATACCTGCTTTGGGTGGAGTCTTTGGAGCTGGTTTCTTCTTTACAGTTGCTTCACCTAGTAAGGAAAAAAAAGTTCAGCTAGTTCAGGTAGGAATGTTGAATGTTGAAACTCTTACTTATCCAACAAATCTCATCATATCTTATCTTAAGCAACATCTGCTTACAAAATATGCTTTAGGGACGAGGAGACTGGTAATCTCTAATCTAGAAAGGATTCCTAGTGGGAAATAAATGTGTACACAGGTCACTGTATGTGATAACAAAGGCAAACTACATAACGAAACTTATGACGAAGCTCCCAAAAGCTCTCACAGCTCTCACTGTTCTTTGTTTGAGTAGGGTTCAAGGGAAAAGTAACATATCTTTTCTTAGTGAGGACCTTTAAATCTACACTTTTTAACCAAAAGGTGAAGCTTATGCACACAAAACATTAGGCTGCAACACTTTCCTCACCACATCTACAAAGATCTATTAGTGGGGCATTAATAGAACTATTTCTACCCTTTTCCCTGTGCCATGTCTCTTGTTTAATCTAAGGGAAGGGGATATGTTTACTTTTTACAAAAACAAACGAAAAACAAAATAGGAATTTCAGATGTGGAAGTTTTCAACTTATAATCACTGGGAAAGATAGTATGAATTCATAGAACCTGGAGCCATGACAGTAAATATTTTCTGTACATAGAGTAATAATGAAATAGAAAAGAGATAATGCCCCACATAAATCTTGCTCTTAAACGCATTTCTGCAATCAACAGGCTGACCAAAATACCATAATTAAAAACTAGAATTATTGAAATGCATTTACTCTTCTATATTTTGTGCTAATGTTCAGTGTACCTGGAAGTTTGTGAAAGCACAGGAAGGATGGACCACAGTCCAAGGAACAGATTGAATGCATCTTAGGCTTATGCGGGGTAATCATTAATTTGGTAAACGTATTTTTCTTTCCGTCTCACATATGCACACAATCCGTCCCTCTCTTAAAGGAGATGGGTGTGTCTATACATCTCCAATGATGTTGGTCTTCAGTGATCAAATACTCATGGGATATCAGAACAAGGCTGAAGAAAAGCTTTTTTCTTTAATTTAGTATGTTGTTATATAGCCTCCCATTCAATCAATTCAGCAGTAAATATATCAAAAATATCATACAAACATACAAGAAGTCATTATTAAAAATGAAAAAAAACCATTTAAATTATACATGGTATGGAGTAACCTGACTTTAGGTATGGGAGGGGGAAGAATGTCATTAAATATCATTAATACACTGTAGCTTTAACCTGAAGAAAAGTACATACTATGTGGGAGAAAAATCTACTTCCTGGGCCTGTTATGAAACTTTTGTCATGCCATTTAACTACAGCCCCATAAGAAGAGATGTTCAGAAAGGCTGTGTTTGTTCCTGTCCCAGTCTCCTTCTCCTGTTTCCCTTTTCAGGCATTTTACTAAAAATAGAAATGCAGAACTCCCAACTCCTCTAACCTCTCAATAAATAGCTCTCTGTGCAGTTCCAGTAAGAGCAAATTCTCAAAAATGGGGAAAAATGCATGCAACTGCACAGACTACCTCCATCCACATATCCTTAAAAAGAGTTCCACCAAGTTTGCTTCACCCAGATACAAATTCCCCAATGAACACGAATGAACTCCGCCCTGTGTTGCAAATGTACTCTTTCACTAACCATTTCTTTTTTCATGCAGAAAAAAGGCAAACAGATAATTCAAAGGCAGTTCAAGTTGTTTGTTCACAGAGTGCCAGAGTAAATTTCTGAAATGATTTACCATCCAAAACAAAAGAAGACAGAAGTGAAAATTGGGATAGATGAAGGCAGCCTTTGGCTAGTAATATGAGAAATAAGTAGCTTAGCAATAAAAATAAGAGGGTTCTTGAACACTGATGGAGCCCTGCTGGAGCAGTGGCTATAATGCAGTATTGCAGGCTAATTCTGCTGACTGCCAGCAGTTTGACCCTAACAGGTTCAAGGTTGACTCAGCCTTCCATCCTTCCAGGTGGGTAAAAAGTGGACCCAGATTGTTGAAGGAAATATACTGACTTTGTAAACCGCAGTAAAGCAGTATATAAGTCTAAGTGCTATTGCTATAGTGTGAGAAAAGCTGCTGACAAAGAAAAGGCCAAAATCCTGGAGGTGCAAATGATATTTTCCTTATTTTCTCATCTAGCCACTCATTCTAGCTATTAACAGACTCCTGCAAGGTTTTTTTCCTTGAAAAAGTTGATCTAAGTCCTATGATGTTCAATAAGACTTAATGCCAAGCAAACCTGGCCAGTATAAATCTACCTCTGCCACAGAAATAAATGATCAAAATCCAAAATATATCTGCAATCTGCCTTCTGGACTTCTTATTTTCCTTTGTGTTTCTTTTTTTATTTGGGCACTTTTTCAAACAAAATCCTGAGATAGAAATGCCTACTATTTTTATTTCTTAAAAAAGCTCCTAGAGCTGTAGAAGCTTCCTTATGCACTAAAGATATTAGGTATGCAGATCATTAATTGTTCTGCAGCATGTCAACTTCATTTTAAAAATAATTAGTTTAAAACATTGTTTGTAAAAAATTAAATGCAATTCAAGGAACCTGATGGAGCCAAGGGAATTATGTTGTCCACTGTGGATTTCTTCCTATCATATCTACTACTGCACAGTGGTATAATGTGTGTTTATGTTCTTTTAACATAAAGAGCCACTGGAAATCATACCACAATGAATATGTGGGGCAGAGGCCGTGCTTAACCAATCGGCTTTGAGGTGCCCCATTTACCTCCATGCTATCAAGAATTTCAGTGAAATCAAGTGGGGCATAGAGCTGCTCCTCCGACGGAGACATCCAAGCTGCCCCACTCAATGGAATGTTTACTGGATTCAAAATTTTCAAACAGTTCCCAAAGCATTGAGAGCAGAAAGGAATGGAGGAGTTAAAAACAAGGGAAAAGCTAATTTTAGCATGAAAAACAAATGCGTTCAGGAATTTGATTAAATATTTTGTATGTTTATCAAATATCTACTTTAGAAAGCATGCAAGGAACTATTTACTTAAGGGTTCCTTCAATTTGAAGATGAAATGACTGGTGTTGGGGGAAGCTATGTCTCTGAATGAACTCTGACTGCAATATCCTTAACTAAGATTAGCAAGATTTGTTGCTTTCTAAGTCATTACTCTTCTTCCTATGAACTGCTCCCCACATTAATATATAGTGTATTATAGTTTCCACCTCTTAGAACACATGAATGTATTCAGAGATTGGTTCAATTTTTTTTACTACTGGCTTTGTGGGCGTGGCTTTGTGGGCGTGACATGGCTTTGTGGGTGTGGCAGGGGAAGGATACTGCAAAAATCCCATTTCCTCCCACACCATTAACCTACTTTCCAGCTCCGTTCTCCTGTTCAGGGCAACAAAAGAAGATCAGCTGGGAGGCAGCGGGGGTGGGGCCAGGCTATTTGCTGGTTCTTCAAACCACTCAAAATTTCTGCTACCGGTTCTCTAGAACCTGTCACAACTGGCTGAATACCACTTCTGAACATATTGCTGTGTTAAATAAGTAAAGGAAGGACAAAGTCTTCTGGTTAAATGAGCAAAAGACTTTTCATGAAGCCTGCTTTGACATATTTTCTTTCTTTTTGATCCCAACATGACAGCATAAAACATACTCGATAACCTTTGACCCCCAACTAACTTGCCAACTTTCCATTTTGGACTGCCCTGTGAGTCCTCCTATTTCAGTGCTCCAAGTTGAATGCAACTTTGTTTTGCCTTACATTATAGAATGCAAGGAAGCATTAAAGGCAGCTTTTCAATTTTGTATGGGGAATTAGTTCTCAATAATGATTATGAATCTTGTTGCAGGAAGAAAAGTCAATATCATAAAAGAGAAAACCAGCTTTAATTAGAAATCAAGTAAAGAAGGATAGACAGACATTAGCCAAGATCCAGATTCCACTTTCCAAACTTGCATAGAAAGATGAATGTGAAAAAGAAAGAGAGCTGAGAGGAAGAAGGTTAAAAAGGAAAGGGAATTGGCTTATGCAGACTGCTTCTTCCACCACTGAAAATAGGCATGTAGGATAGTGAAAGAGGAAATGGCATAAAAAGCCTCACATCTTTATCTTTTCTATTGTCAATCATATGTAGATCACTTAACAATGGTTGTGATGGCACAATTCCTTAATGAAAAACCAACCATTCCTTAATGAAAGACCTAAATTCCAAGTTTAAAGCACAGGCCGGGGACAACCAGGTCTCAATTTTTAAAAAAAAAAATGATGGAGAATAAAAATAAGAACCCTACCCTAAGCTATTTCTCAGTTATTGCTGTTCTAATCTCTATAGCAGAGACAGGGAATATTTACCTCACTAAATTAAGAAAACTCGGTTA